TGTTATAGAAATATTACTTTGTATAACATGTTGTTTTCTTTTTGTGTCACAGGTGTTTTATATGGACTATGGCTTCTCTGTAGAGACCAGTAGGGATACTCTGTTGCAGCTTCATCGGGACTTTCTGTCTTTGCCCTTCCAGGCTACAAATGTCAGCCTTGCAGGTGCATACATAATGGGTGACAGAACTAAATGTCAAAACATGCATTTCAGGTCTCCAGCAGTCTGTCATAACTTTGAATTTATATAGCATAACTTCTTTGTGTTCCTCCTCCTAGGATTGGAAGCTGTCAGCTCCCATCCAAAGGTGCTCTCCACTTTGGGTTCAGTGGCAGTTGAAAAGATTCTGCGGATGGAAACCTTAAGGCCGTGTCAACAGAACGAGATGCCCACAGTGGTTCTTTATGATACCTCACAAGATGAGGATGTGAACATCAACTCCATGTGCCTGAAGGTTCTACAGGATGATACAATGAACAATCCTCTGAGGGTGTGTAAACCAGCCAGGATCATGCTGGTTGGGTTTGAGCTTCTGGTTTAATTTGAAAGCAGCAAAAACTCTGAAGACGGTTTCACACAGATTTTCTAATCCATCTTTGTTTCTTACAGGAGAATGTTGTTTATAAGGATGTGCAGGTGTCAAGCGTGTGTGCAGATGGGAGCATTTTCTGCCAGCTGCCCTCTAGAGGAACAGTCAGGTTAACAAAGTTACTGGAAGGCATGGAAGCATTTTTTGCATCCCAGGTAGATGATATTTTCAGCATATGCATTTTTTTCTATCAAAATAACTATGTTGGAAGTTTTGGCTAAATGACCTGCATTGATGTCAACCTGCTAATTACTCTACATCTACGTTCTTAAAAGAACACATCAGAGTCCCTGGTTTTCAGACCCTTCAGCGGCATGTTCTGTGTGGCCAGTTACAAAGGTCAATGGGCCAGAGCTGAGGTAAGAGCTGGAAGGTGAAATGCTTTCACAGGCAAATCTAAACTATGCATTGGTAATGATAGATAGCTAGATGGATGAATGAATAATATGTTTTTCTTTTTTCAGATTACATATGTGCGCGATAACAGAGTGTTGGATATTCTCTTCATTGACTTGGGGATCCCAGCTACTGTTATATTCATGGATGTGCGTGGGGTCCCTCGACACTTTTTGAAGGATTTTGTCATCATCCCACCACAGGTCAGATGTTTGTGTTTACGGATCATATTTCCAAGTCAGTGTTTTTTTTATTATTAATTTTTATTTAATCTTTTATCTGGAGAAGCAAGTTACAATTACTTCGTACAGACCAGCTAGATGGAAGTATGAGCAGGAATAACATCAGCCAATCCAAGATTTTTGTATAATAACTGAGCATCCATAACAGAAGAGATGGTTCTAGTCTGATTTTTCTTATATTAGGGGAAAAACACAATCAGAAACAACATTTTGCAATCTTCCTGAGCCACAGTACAAGACACAGCACAACAGAATTTACATGTGAAAGACATATTTAGTCCAAAGGGATTACTGATTTTACATAATTTGTCCATTTAGAACAGAAAAACATTCTCCAGAATGTAAATGTCCCTTACAAGATTGACCCAGTCCTTAACTGCAGGAGCTTCAGGCTTTCATGTTTCTTGTTTTGTGAACGTTTTTAGTTGTCATGAATCTTTTTTAACTGGCCTATCGACTTCCTTTTTGTTTTCTTGTAGGCTATTAAATGTCGACTGGCTGACCTCCCTATTCCAGAAGAAGGCTGGAGTCATGAAGACCTTTTGTTGTTGAAGGAGACTGTTGTTGGAGCAAAGGAGCTCAAAATGAAGGTAGGATTGGTTATGGCATTAAAGAACTGTGGAGCTACGACAGCAGTATAAAATGGAAATGAACCAGCAGGTGAAATTATCAACAACATCGTGCCCCCAAAGTCCCTAGACCAAACCAGCTTTAGATACATCCTGCAAGCTTTTTGGTTAGATAGGGGGTCCCATCCAGGGAAGAAACAGTGAAACTGACCGTTTACCACAAACCTGCTCTAAGAATATGAGCGTTTGAAGCCAGCCCCCATGGTGGCTTTTTCTGGTCAAACTTATCAGTTTAACCAGCTTAAAACTGGCAAGTTTGTGCTTTTAACCAACAGTAGATAGATAAATGATAATAGAAAGTAAATACTTAAACGCCAAAACTTTGTACTGGTCTAGCTGCTGTGAAAATGTCTTTTTTTTTTTGGGGTCTTTTAACTCTGTTGTTGTTATACTTTATTTTTTTTTTTTTTTTTTTTGGGGTCTTTTAACTCTGTTGTTGTTATACTTTTGTTTCAGATATCAAAAGTAGAAGAGTACAAGGGAGAAAAGGTGATCTTCATGCATCTCTTTGATGGTCACAGTCAGGAGTTACACCAAAGCCTCAACCATCAGCTCAGGGAGAAAGTTTTATCAAGGGACAAAAACGCAATCCCTGCCTCTGACGGCAACGCTGTGGACACGGGTAATACGGCACACCTTCCCATTTAATCCAACTTTACTTTGTACTGCCTTTGAACTTTTTATTTTCTGTTAGATCTCACTGCTCTAATGGAGAGGTTGAACCTAAGCAGCCCGGTCCTTAATCCCATCATCAATGCCTTGCCTGTACTACAAGGTGAAGGTGTTGCCATGGCACCTGGAGTGCAGCCACTAATGTTACCCCCTCCACTGGACCTTCCCCAGGTGTGTAACAGAGCCTCTGTTAACATGTGAGGATATTTAATACAAGCATGAATGTAAACTTGAATATTTTGTTTCGATCGACATCTAAACCTGATTTGGCTGGAAAGAAAAAATGAGATATAATTTCACTCAACTATGAAGAACTATTCAGACAGCTTTACATCCAAGTAGCTGAATGCTGTAGCACTTCAGTTAATTAAAACCTGCTTTAAGTGGGGAAGTATTACTTTAATAGTTTTATTTATAATATATGGGATCAATAACTGTTGAATGAAAAGTTGCTAACAGTTAAAGTTGGGTGTCGGGTAGGTTTGCAAACGCATTAACTGTTTGCACCATTCTCATTGGCTTTGGAACCTCGCATTAGTCTTGAGTTCTTTTTAACCATGTTTTAACCATTAAGGGTAGGTTGCTCTCTTTTTGTGTGTTTTCTTTAAATCTACACATTTGAGGTCTGATTGGGTGGAAAAAGTAAAAAAAAACAAAATATATTAGAATTGTTTTCTGTATTTGTATCCTACCCTGGTGTTTTGATACCTACTTTCCTCTTCGACCTGCATAAACCACCTGTTGGTTCAATAATCACACTGCTGACGTTAACATCCACACTTTAATGGTCGCCATTAACAGTTTACAACATGCGCTCCCGCGCTCATCACTCCTCAACATGAAAAAGGAAACACAGATCTAGCCCCGCCTCCCATTCCTTACATCTCATACATGCACAGTATGCTACTTACAACTTAACACCACCTGCTTGTTCTTATCAGAGTATCACTAAGACTGGTTTTATTTCTATTTTGGTGGTTTAAGTTGGATATTTTATGAGAAAACTTTGTAATATAAAAGTCGGTATTGAAAGTGTTTTGATTGGCTACCTTTTTCAATGAGTCCGTTGCTAAACGTTTTGCACAACAGTGGTTCTTTCATCGGGTCCAGCAGCACCCTTCATTCCTTGTTTTTTTGCAGGTTAATATTAAGTCAATCCGCTGTAGACGTTTTTGCTATAAATTGATAGCCAGATAAACCAGACTAAATGTGAGATTAGATGTGTAATTTAGTCCGGCCCCGATGAAGGAGACATTGGAAGATTGTTGAGAACAACCCGTTGTTTTTCAAACCGCTGTCTGTGCCTATTGGCCAACGCTCTGACCAATGAGCGCAACTGACTGTGACATAGGAAGTGCAACAGAAAGCTGGTGGAGGAGCGTAAACAAACAGCCTGTCGGTAAAATGGCGAATGCATCCTTTAAAATGAACGAGCGTAGAGCCTCTTCCTGCACACATTTCAACGAAAAACCCAAGTCTAATCCTTCCAAAACGTATTCCAAAGCTGAGTCAAACGAGAACTGGTCAATAGTTGTTGCCATCTTCCTTGTTGTGCTTTCTCCAGCGTCGCGCAGCTTTGTCGCCACGCCCTCAAACCCCGTCCGCTTAGCATCGAGAAATTCAAAACACATCTCTGCGTTGTGATTGGCCCGCCAGTTCTAGGGACTGGCGCATTGATCGAGGCTAGACCACTCGCAGGAAAAATGATTTTGGTCGCTGGTGGGTGGGGCTAGTTTTCTAGGCTAATAAATTGACATAATTAGAACCGACCTATTCTTGGGATGGAACCAGTTCAGGTCCTGGTGGTAGAGGATCCTTTGCGTTAGAAAAAAGGAATCAAATCAAAGCCGGATACTTTAGTTTTTCTTAACTTTCAAATCCATGCCACATAATGTATTTTTTCTTTCATTTCAGCCTGGTCAAAACATGGATGTCTTTGTACCAGTTGCTTGCCACCCAGGTTACTTTGTGGTACAGCCTTGGCAAGACCTCCATAAGTTGGTGGTGTTGATGGGAGAAATGGCCCTTTACTACAACCAGAGCAGAAGTATAAGCAAGATGCCGCCCATCCAGAAAGGACACGTCTATGCTGCCAAATTTGACAAGAAGTAAGTCAATCTGAACCATAGATGGAGAAAAGGAGGGATTTTATAAAAGAAAAAAAAACCCACTGATGATGGCTAAATGTTTTGTTGATGTCGTTTAGTTGGCACCGTGTTCAGGTGAAAGGAATTTTGACCAATGGGTTGGTTTCCGTCTATGACTTGGACTACGGTAAACACGAGCTTGTCCCCCGCACTCTAATCCAGCCTCTGATAGAGGAATTCAGACAGCTGCCCTTCCAGGCTATTACTGCCCAACTAGCAGGTGAGTGATCTTTTTTAGTTAAAAAAATCTCATTAGTTAAACCATTTTTTATTTTTAGGTACTTTAAACAAAGGAAGGATCTAGTGCTTGTATTGAAAGTGTGTTCTCTATAATCATACAGGTGTGACGCAGCGTCAGTGGTCAGAGGAGGCTGCTGTGATGTTCAGGAGTCATGTAGAGAAACGAGCGCTGGTAGCACAGGTGGAGAGTGTGCAGGACGTGTCGGAGGCTGAAAGCGAGCTGTCAGAGCGCAGGCTGACACTTTACCTGGTGGACACTTCATTTGAGGAGGATGTGTGGATTCACAACCTCATGACTTACATTTCAGGATAAGATCTCCTGTGCTTTGTTTACTCTTAACTGTGTGATACTGTTTATACAATGTTGAAATTGTTTGCTTTCCTTGTAGCCTTGTTTTCACCAAATGTGAACTGCTGTTTCTTTCAAAAAAAAAAAAAGTTCAATAAAGTCTTGGCTAGTGTATTTCTGCCACAGCTACTCGCAGATGCTGCTCCGGGACTGCTTTACCTGCCTTAGAGGGCTTTAAATGCTCGATCTGGTCTGTTGGCAAAATCATGCCGAAAGTATCTGAAGTTGGTGTCAAAGGTAATCATGTTTTTTACCGGAGTAAAAGTAGAGATTTGTTTTTGTTTAAAAAAAAAAAAAAAAAAAATACAGGCTCTTAACTTTACTTGAGTACAAAAGTTTTGTGCCTCTAATGATAAAAAAATCACTTCTAAAAACTATCCCTTAAAAAAATAATGCCTTGTTAATTATTACTGTTTCGCTCACTGTGTTGGTAGAGACAACATAAAAACCCAAATTTAAGACAGAATAAAAAAGATGGAACTGAAGTCCTGCATAAGCAGTTGAATACTCTTTAGAGTTCTGGTATTCACGACACAGAGTTGCAAACAGAAGGTAAAATAATCACAATGTAATTAAACATAAACATGGTGAGTGAATGGAGAATGATCTTCATCCATGTTTTATCAGTGTTTTTCTTTTATCAAACAGGACTTATCCTCTTTTCTCCTCATGTTCTGTTTTGTTGCATGAATAGAAAAAAACAGGGAAAAATTAAGGAGAAGAAAGTACAGATATGTGTGTTCCAATACAGGGATTAAAAGTAGAAAGTCCTCAGAAAAAAAAAAGTAGATACTGAAAAAAAGCTGCAAAAATACATTTAAATATATGTTTACTACTTGAAATCTATGGTCACTGCCTTTTATTATTTATTTTATTTAAAGTAGATATTAGGCTCTGACTGATTCTTAGCTTTGAGCAGTCATCTGTTGGTAAATATTTGGGATTTATGCAGCTAGATGGTTTTTAGTATTAAAGTAATTTTTGCATAAGCAGGCAGTAGGTTAGGTGACGCAAAGCAAAGCGCTGTCCGATAATGGAAGCAGCGCCTCTGTGACATCACTAGAGTGACAGGGCAGGCGCGTGTTGGGGGAGGAAGAGGAGGAGGAGGAGGAGGATCATCTCTCCCTTGAGTTGACTTTGCCGTTTTAGGGAGATTAGATCCAGCTTTCCGCAAACCCACCAAGACCAGAGCAAAGACTGGAGAGGAGACGCCAGGAGCTGAAATCTGTACCATCAGTCGGCGGCTCATGGCCGGTTCCTTGTAGCGGAGCGGCTTTTTCTTATTTCGGGTTTGTGCGCTTGGCACCGTGCGCAGCTTTCTGTGACTCCAAAGGGAAACCATATCTGGTCAAAGTATTCGTAGCTGTCATCCAGCAGAGCCGACCGGCTATTAATAGCGGCGGAGGAGGTACGTAAATTAATGCAAAAGTTTCTGTCTGCTGGCGGTGAAGCAGTCAGATAAGAAAAGATGCTTTTCTAAGGAATGGGGCTGATTTTGCATGTTGGACATGATTAAAGTAGCAGGTCTTCAAGAGAGCTGCTTGAAAACGAGTGGTAAAAGTAGGATAGTTATTTTTTTTCTATTGAAACAGGTTTGTTTTATATAGGAATAAACTTACAGAATGAGCAGCCATGGTTTCCCTGTTTAGTTTCTTTAATAGACTACAGAGGAAAATAAGTAACCTTTTACTTCCGACTCCTCTCATGTTGAGTTTTTTTTTTTTTTTTTATCTAAAGAATAATCATACTATTTGTATTTGAAAAGGAAACTAAGCAGAGACACACAGTGAAGTAAGGTAACCTTGATCATACTATGACCCTTTGGCCCCTGGGGAAAGTATTCAAGTCCATGGAGGCTCTAACAGCTCATGGCTGTCCCCAAAATGGACAAAACTTGTCAGGAAAAAAAAAATAGTTTATTTCTTTTGGTTTCATACAAAAGTTATGTGCTGATTTCTATTCCTTTTTAATGCCCGGTTTGTGTCTGAAGTGGATGCCTCAATGCAAAAGTTACAAAAGTTGTGTATCTAATGCATTTGTTATGACATGTGGCTGAAAAAAGCAGACCAGTTGTCCCTCAGCTGTTTTCTACAGAGTCATTTCAGAAATCTCTACTATTCAACAGCTGAAGTCATGGCTGTGCTTGCATTTATAAAGTTGCTCCTTAATTATGTTAAATGGACATTTTGGTTGGTGAATTCTAGTTGTCCAGAACATTTAATGGTCTTTTTGTTATTCTTTATATTTTTATCAGAAAAGATTGACATGAATCTCAAGATGTACTGAGCAAGTAAAAGTCTGTAATACCTTAATGTCTGACTGAGCAAAACAGTTCTTGAATCTTACTTATGGAATTGAACTGTTCTTTTCTGCTATTTAAAGATGATATAACAAAATTGGTTTATAACACTGTGTGTTACAGTCTGAATTTAATGGTGATCTTTTCTAAATAACAATAGAAAAAAATTATACGAATACAGTAGTTCTTTATTAATTAAACCTTACTTAATATTTGCTCAAATGTGCCATTAAGTTGCAGAGAATCTGCACACATGTTAAATGTTTACTACAGAAACGCTTGATTCAAATTCAAGCAGATTTAGCAAATTTTCAGAATGGTTTTGGTCAGATACATTCTAGAAGCTGAAAGTCGTCATGCAAAATAATATATCCTTTGCTTTGGATCATTATTGCTTTGAAATACCCAAGGTTCAGCCAGCTGATATGTCACCTTCAAATTAAATGTAATTAGTTATAGGAAGAGAAGCTTCCCAGACTCTAGTCTGATGTCAGCTGGAAACTTCTCAAACATTTTAGTTCCACAAAATATCTACTTTTAAATAAGCATGCACCGAGAGCTTCAAGAAGAGCTTCTGCTGTAAAATAAACACATTCAAGCTTAACTCAAATTTGCAGCTGCTTATGTAGACGCTCTGAAGACTTCTTGGAGCTTTGCCTAATGCAACAGCTACTTCCACAAATAAAATTACAGAAATTATGTCTGAGGCTTTCAGGCCTAAGAAAAGCGTACTGTGTCGAGCATGATGCTTATATAAATCTCAGGGTTAGTGCATTTGACAAAGTGGGTTGATTTAAAGAACTGTTGTATCAAAAAATATAGTTATTCAAATCTACAACTGCTTGGCTGAAATCTAAGTCCCTAATCCACCAAAAGTCCTATAATAACTGCAGCGCCGACCCAAGCCTACAGGGGCCTTAAACAAAATTTTATTTTGGGGCCCTTTATGTGTACTAATAATGTCCGTTACTGCAAACAACAGTCAGATGATCAGATCACTCACACACCTTCTATAAACCCATTGCAGCCTTGTATGCTTTACTGAGTTTGATCAAGATGTCATGTCATGTGGTTTATACTTTTTTTTTAAACTGCAATGTGTAAAATAACATGTAGTGCAAGAACATCAAATAACATAGCTTTGATTACTTAAAATAATTAAGAACCGTCATGTTCTTAAATAATGGAAAGAAAGTAAACTAAATAGAAGATGAATTAAAATGTAAAATTAAATGATTGGCTCTTAAACATACAAATATTTAAATAATAATAATCAAATGTCATTGATCTCACACTGGAGAAATTTGCCTCTGTATTTAACCCATCCATTTGGGGAGCAGTGGGCTGCCATTGTGCGGCGCCCATGGAGCAGTGTGGGGTCAGGGGTCATTGCTCAGGAACCCAGAATGGAGGCTGTGGGGATCAAACTGTGTACTTGCAACCTTCTCAGAGCACAAACACACTGATCTAACCCCCTAGGCCACAGGTGTCAAAGTTGTTCTAGTAAGGGCCGTGTGGCTGCAGGTTTTCTTTCCGACCAAACAATAAAACACCAGACTTAATTCATATCATCAAGTCACCATGTGCAGATTGGACTCCCTTGATGACATGACTAGAGTCTGGTGTGCTATTGCTTAGTTGAAAAGAAAACCTGCAGCCACACGGCCCTTTCTGGAACAGGTTTGACCCCCCCTGCCCTAGGCCATCACTCCCACTAACGACACACAGAAACCAACTAGTTTTACCCATATGAATTTGTTACATCTCACCATTCTTTGTCGATACAATATTCCCTATCTAAAGCCTGTTTGGAAAGTCACTGAAAGCATCACTGTAAGAAGTCTGACAGACAACTTTATTTATATAAATGACTGCCAGCCCACACAGCCATTTTCTTTCATGAAAATGTTCAGATTGTTCTTAATTAATTTGAGTTTGAAAAAAACTCGGCAGATCCAGCAGTCTCAGGGAGGGTGCAGGCCATCCTCGGAGCTACGCAAAGATTTGGGTAGAACTGAGATCTCATTTTGAGGGAGGTAAGTGACTAAATTAGGTCATCCGTGCTTTAGGATCTATTCAAGGTTTCCATCTCTGAAGCCAGTGTGCTCTCACCACTACCAGACTGTTCTCCAGATAAAAGCTTGTCTTTGGGAACTTTACACTTCCTCATCTGTGCGTCAATCTGGCCCTAAAACCTGTATATTTTCTTTTTTTTTTTCATGTGTAAAATTTTTTTTCCCTATATGTGTGTAAAAAAATGCATATATTCATTGTTAAAGTTGGTTTTCTTTGCTATATTTGTAAGGAAATTCTTGCAAACTAACAAACAAACAAAAAAAAATAAAAAACAAAACAAAACCCAAGAGGTGCTGTTAGGGACCCCTAATTGCCCTTGGGCCCTTAACTAGCCCATGCCCTGTCGCAGCTGATTGAAAATGTCAGGGATTATGTCTCCCAGTAATATTGATGCTTTCTGTTTCCATTGCTCTAAACCAGGGGTTCCCATTTACTTCAATCTGTGACCCCAAACTAACTAAGCAGCAAACTGTAAGCCCTAAAATTACATAGAATTATTTTTTCCACATTTACATATAATTCTATTAATTGTAAATACCATTTTTAAAGCTACATTTCCTTATTTAATACATTTTAAATGTATTCTTTAATAATCTGATGGAAATGGTGCACTTTAAAATGTATTAGTATAATTATAAATAAAATAAATGAGTCAAATTCTAAATATGTATTAGTTAAATGTTACATCTACTTATTTCATCTTGCAACCTCCATGGCTGTCCCAACTCCTGCTTTGGGAAGCCCTGCACTGAAACGCAGTGGAAATGTGTATTAAAATAGGCGTAAGTTCTATCAATAAGCTGCTTGACACCTCCTGTCCATCAGGAGGCTGTATGGAGGAACCAAAGTCGTAACCAGCTGCTTTGCCCCTCTGTGGTGCAGTGGTGCCTCCAGAAATGTTTCATAGGAGGGCCAGATGGGGCCACTAAAAATCTTGGAGTGGCACACTGAACCTAAAAGTCATAATTTCAGGGTTTGAATCTACTATTGTGGTAAACCTGCCTGTAGAAAACATAAAGACTTAAGTAAACACCTACCGTACTCATATTTTGGTGTATTGTGTGATTTTTAACGTTACGTTGCTGGCTGTGCATAATTGAATGAAATGATAAACTGATCCTACTACAGTTTACTCTGGCCAGTGGGGTGGCCAGGGCATTGCACAGGGTGGGCTTGGCCACCACACTGGCGACGCACCGCTGTGGTGCAAACCACAACTGTAAAGCTTTCTAATTGGGTAAGAAGATTTGCTCCATTTAGTTTTTGTTAGCTTGATCCTTAAGGGACATGAGAGGCACTTGTTAAATAGAAGTGAATTATTATTTTCCTCGTGCACGCTCTGTTTAAAAGTTGCTGTTCCCATAGCTCATACACGCTAACTGTGCCCGAACATCTGCCCTAACTCCTAAATCCCTCAATCACTTTATAGAGCAGTGACTATATAGTGGACTTTATAGTGAACTCAGTTAACCGACTATTCAGACAGATGATCACTTCCTCGTTGGTCCATTGTGTTGTTCCTGCGCCATCTTTGTAATTAGTTGCTGCTGTTGGGTCCCATAATGAAGTCCCATAATGCTTTGCGAGGAGAGATCTCTGTTCAAAGCATTCTGGGATATATCTGCCTCTTCTAACACTTTTCTTATCATACACTTCGTAGACCGTGGTGAAAAAGGTGAGCTTCAATAACTGTCTGAAACCGTAGCTCACCTTAGATATACGCCTGAAACAGTGCATGCACTGAAAAAATAGCCCAACAGGACGAGCACGTAGGGAAGCCTTAGTAAACACATCACCAGAATGATTGGCAATTAGGAGGACCACTTATTTAGATGATCCACCCGGAAATAAAATATCGTCCTCTATACCTTTAAGTGCTTGTCTCCATATAATCACCGGGCTGCACTGAGGACTGATGCCTCAGTTGCAAAAAACATTTAGAAATTAATTTGTCAGCTAACTGATCTCGTTTCATTGTTTTCTCCTTTTCATTTTTATTTGAATTTAACGTTTTCTAACACTGAAGGTTTTTTATTTATTTTTTTTGTAAGCAGTCTTAAATAAATTTGTGAATTTTTTTTTCCTGCTAAAAGTTGAGCAAAATATTTTTCTCTGTTGCCTTGCAGTTTTATTGAAACATCTGGATTTCATACAAGAAAAGAAAAAATAACGTGCCATTAAACAGGCTAAATTTAAAGAAGTTATTGTTTCAGATTTATCAGTCTATTTCAGTTTAAAATCTTCATGGTACCTATTTATGTTTTTAGCTTCTGTGATGGTGTTTTTTGAAGCTGGAGCTTGTAGAGCCTCAGAAATGGGGTCTGTTTGATGTCACCAGAGCAGGCCAGTGTCTTCCAAAAGACTTGCAGACTCTTATTTGGATTTCAGCCCAGTTCTTGATCTTGTGTTTTGGTAACATGTCCTGTCACTGTTCTCAGAGAGAGAAGAACATATTAAAGTTGCATTTGACCATTCTTCTGCTAAGCATGGAAAAACACCCGCTGACAAACATAATAGCAGATTTGGGTCTAACTGATTTATTTCATCTATATGTTGTGATGGAGATGTTTGGCAATGGTAACTAAGTTAGACCTATTTCATTGAGTATGTTATCTCTGTCTGGTTAAAAGCAGTAATAATCAAGTTAACCACTATTTATTGCAAGTTAAGATTAGTTGGGCCTGGAGGTTGGAGATGATTGCTTGTGGAAAGTAGCAATTGTCAAATTAAACTTTTAACTTCTGTATGTGTCTTAGTCGTTCCCTAAACACTTATAAACTGTTCATCATTTTCGCCTTTAACACTCATGTCCAGAGAGGTCAATGGTTATTTAAACATTAAATGGAGGGAGGAGGCACTGTGATCATTTAAATGTTCATTTCAGCAATGACCATTCCAGCATTTTCAGTCACTTGCTGATAGAAACCTTAAATCGGTCTAAAGCATCTGTTTAATATTAAATATACATAAATATTTATTAAACTAAAATGCCCAAAGGTTCAGTTGTCAGTTTGTTTTTCAAATGGAAAGCTTGCTGAGGTCAATAAGATAAGTAATGAGGCAATGCAGATGTGAAACCATTGAAAGGTTTTTAAAACATGGATCTGTTTTCACTATGATCCAAATTTTCTCCGTCAGTCCAGCTGAAATAAATGTTAACAGCCCCAAATGTAATCTGATATAATTCAAAAAGACAGCTTCTGGTTTCTTTTTTTTTAGCAATGTGTAATCAACATTTTGTTCCTTTTTAAAGAACCAACAATGGATTTTTTTTTACACTCCTATCTCTCTTTTTCTCTTGCCTTCATTCTTATCCCCTCTACCTTTCTCACCTCCTTCTCTGTCACTGATTCCATTGCATATGATTTTATTCTCTAAATCCTTTGCAATAAAGTTTAATAAATCATTCCAAAGAAAACCCCTATGGGAACAAGCAATTCAGTTCAGTTGATTTATTTAGTGCTAATTCACATCTGAAGGCACTTTACAGTTCAACCAGATCATACAGTCAAATTGATACAAAGTTTTCTATCTAAGGAAAACCAGTTGATTGCATCGACTCACTGACTCGAATGCAATCCCTCACACTAAGCATGCTTGTAGCGACAATGGAGAGGAAAAACTCCCTATTAACAGGAAGAAACCTCCAGCAGAACCAGGCTCAGGGTGAGCGGCCATCTTTAGAGGCCACTGGGTTTCAAGGAGACAGAAGCAGAGACACAAAAAGCAGCTGTAAAAGGCGACCCTGTCCAGGAAACACACAGCCAGGCAGACGAGCGCCGAGCCAGCTCCCATGCCAGAGGATGAAGAGAGCACATCCAGATAGTCACGGTCAGAGAAACAGGACCACACCGTAAAAGAGGCCAATCTCAAACATCTACAAACAAAGGTGTTGATGGAAGCAGCACAACTGATATTTCTCTCCAGGATGGTGTCACTGCCAAACAGGAACAGATGAGGCGAAGCTACTATGAGAAAAAGCAGAGAGAGCATAATATTAGAGATCAAACTAACAGATTCTGCAGAGTAAGAGAATAGAGATAGAATGAAGCAGAATGATGAAATGGGGGTCCCTATGTCCTCCAGAAGTCTAAGCCTATAGCAGCATAACTATAGAGATAGCTCAGAATAACCTGAGCCACTCTAACTATAAGCTTTATCAAAAAGGAAAGTTTTAAGCCTAGCCTTAAAAGTAGACAGGGTGTCTGCCTCACGGACTAAAACTGGTAGTTGGTTCCACAAGAGAGGAGCCTGATAACAACAAGATCTGCCTCCCATTCTAGATTTTTAGAAATTCTTCGAGCCACTAGTAAACCTGCAGATTGAGAGCGAAGTGCTCTGTTAGGAACATAAGGAACAATCAGATCTCTGATATAAGATGGAGCTTGGCCATTTAAGGCTTTATATGTGAGAAGGAGGATTTTAAATTCTATTCTTGATTTAACAGGAAGCCAATGAAGAGAAGCCAGGATAGGCGAGATATGACCTCTCTTTTTAATTTTCATTAGAACTCTGGCTGCAGCATTTTGGATCAGCTGAAGGCTTTTAACTACAGTTTGTGGACTTCCTGATAATAAAGAATTACAATAGTCCAGCGTTGAAGTAACAAATGCATGGACTAGTTTCTCAGCATCACCCCTGGACAGGATGTTTCTAAGTTTTGTAATATTCCACAGATGAAAGAAGGAAATTCTAGAAACCTCTTTGATATGGGATTTAAATGACAGGTCCTGATCAAAAACAACACCATAATGGTGTCCTTCTGAATGCAGATCTATTGGGCTATTTTCTAGCTCTGGGACATCAATCCCCCTATATTGGCAAAAAAGAGCCAACACCTGAAACAATACAAATAAAAGAGAATGGAAGCATTTTGCTGCTGCTTTGTTGATGTTGATATTTGTGGTGAATAATGTTAAAAGAGCATAGTGTATAACCCTATGAAAGAAATCTAGAAATTAAATGTAATAATTTAGTTTAAAAACAGAATTTGCTTTAATGTCTGTAACATTAGGTGATTCTTAATCACAATTGACCCAATGTATATAGAGCCACTGTGGGAGAGCCAAAGAGTCCCATAGGGCTCCACAGCCACAGGTTGCAGACCCAGGGTCTAAACCAATATAACTTTTTAAATTCAAGTAGTTGTGCAGCTATAGCAGTCTTTGTTGGACTTTTTCAGCCTCCAAAACCAACTAAACTAGAGCTACATGTAAAGAGGAATCCCAGATTAATCTGTTGCTGATCAGATATCAACCGTTTATAAGGTTTTAACCAGTTAAAAAGTAGGAAACTATCACTTTATAAGTGAAAACTAAATGTATATGAAAACTATTAGTTTTGATGAATGCAGCATTGGCTACTCCATTGATTCTATTCTGCATAAATAATTTTTGTTGATGAATTTTAAAAATAAAAAGGGAGAAATCCACTAAATCCAAGCAGCTGTCTAATTCTGAGAACGTTAAATCTTTCCTCACTCATGTTTCTCTCTGTTTCAGCTGCGTTGGAATCCCTGAGAAAACTTGAACAGTTGGCTGCCATTATCATTGTACCTCTGAATTGGGGATCATCAAGGTGATATAATCAGTAACATTAACACCTATTGTTGCTAATTCAATATATTAATTGTCTCTTTGCATGAGTATTGCATCCTGCTGTGCAATTATTGCTTTTCTCTAATCTTTCAGAGGGCCCAGTATTTCTTTTTTGTTTTGTTTTTTGTCTCTGATCTATTTGCTGTTTTTTTTTTAATCCTTTTAGATATCTTGAAATGAAATCAAGATTTTCCAGGTTAATTGCATTGGATGCAGGGTTAATGTGTTTTTTCAAATATATTATTAGTTACTTTTAAGATAAATATGTCCAAAATGTTCCATTGTTTAAACCTGTTTTCTATTGATTGGATTTTCACACAGGGGATTTTTTTTTTGTTTTGATTTCAGGGTTGCAGTTCATCATGTCGTTGTTAAAGAAGGAGATGGACAAGTACAGGGACATAGACGAGGATGAACTGCTACAAAAGCTCTCGGAAGAGGAGCTGCAGCGGTTAGAGGACGAATTAGACGAGCTGGATCCTGATGTAAGTTTATAGCATTTAGGTCGATAAGGAGGAGAGTCAGGCTGATATCATTTATTGCACTAAAATAAACTTGTAGCTTATTTTTTTATTCGACTACCATAAGTAGGTTATTTTCTTTTCCATCAGACAAAGTCTGTTAAAGTCTGAACAAGCATGCAATTTTAATGTAGGAATTTCCAGTTTTAAATCAAAAACGAAATATAGTTGTATTTTCAGGCTTCAGTGTCTTCCAATCATTCCTCATCTACTCTCTTGTGTCCTTCCTGTATTCCCTGCCTCCACCCTACCTCAGTCTTTATTTCCATTTGCAGTTCATTTGTTCCTTCCTTCCTTTCTTGCTATTTTCTTTTTTTCTTGCTTTTACGTACAAAATAAATAAAAAAAACTGCGAATTTTAGAAAATAACTTGTTCCAATTAAAAAAAAAGGAAATAATCTCAACCAGAGGTCACATAAAATAGCCTTTAAACCAAAATAAAATCACCTCTGCATGTTACTTTTCTGGGTTAATCTAATATTTGGTTCTAAAAATGTAAACTGTTGATGTTACTGTTTGGCTCATTGCAAAAAGTTCAGAGCTGGCAGTTAACAGTTTCCCACTATGATACATTTAAGAAAAGGAAATACAGTTTTTAAAAACATTTGCAAAAGTACTCCCACCTCTAAAATATGGGGTATTTTATGACATTGTCACATAGCAACTACACATTTCCCTGTTTAATTGGGATCTTATTAATAACTAACAGAAACCAGACAATAATTATGAAGTGGAAAAAAAGATGGTTTTCTTTTTTTAGAGAAAAACTGAGACTTTTGAGAGACGTGCAATGAAGTCCCATTTCTTCCTGATACCTCTAGATAAAATCCAGTGGATCCAGTTTGCTTTTGGATGTTTGTTAGAGAGCACTGAGACCAATATTACTAACCTTTCTGTATTGATGGATTAAATAATTTGCATTTAGATATATAGTGGTTGAGTTGTAAAGCCACTGAGAAACAGTTCAAGATGTATGAACACTTTGGCCAGGAACTTTAACATAAAAACTTTCTAAAAAGGCAGCTATAATGTGAAATAAATCTGAATCTGTCTTTTAGATCTAAACAACTGTAAAAATATAATGGATTTAAATAAAAAAAAAAAAAAAATGTTGCAAAAAGTTTGTGAGGGTCTGAGCCGGAGGTCAAATGAAGAGACTAACTCAAGGCAAAAAATATCAAGGTTAACCATAAAAAAATTATTTTTTAATGGTTTCTGTATGCATTTCGGCCTCATTTACATAATGAGGCCGAAATGCATACAGAAACGTAAAAACGACAGGCAGAAATAAATAGCATTGAAGAAATATATAGAGTAAAAAATACAAAAGAAGAATAAAACAGATAAAAATATTATATCATGCACATAAATAAATACTTAAAAAAAAAAAAGTAATAAATAAATAGAGTTGAAGATTATAAGGGACAATAAATAGATAAGTTCATTATTACAAAGGCAAATAAATAAAGAAGCTAATTAAAAGAGATTCATACATTTATGTCTCACTGTATAATTTAATTTCTACCTACATTTATTAGTTTATTGTATTTTTGGGGGCAATTAATTGTATACTTATTTATTTACTGAGCATTTATTTATTTCTGTATTTATTTTTAAATATGGCAGAGTTGGCCCTCCATAACAAACTGACCTCACAAACAAATTGACAAGACACACAGCAAACAAAAGGGACTTTAATACTGGCTGATTAGACCAGACCAACACACTGAGGAAGAAGGAAAGAGAACATCTATACAAATGTAACAAAAATAACTGAAAGGTTAGCTTAAGGATTAAACTTAAAGTAATATTAACTAAAAGAAAAATTAACAAAATGAGCAAATAAAAAAAGCAAATAAATGAAAATATTATGCAGCATATTTAAATTTGAACTCCCTGGTCTTCCCCCATAGTGGAACTCCAGATGGTACATCCCAATTTATCAATCATTCAATCTGGGATTGAGTGTACCAGCGACAGTCCTTTGGCTTCAAACAGGTGAAGGTACTCTCCACAACAGGAAGCACATAAATATTTGGTATTTGGCAAAATAAAATATAAAAAAAAGTTAACCAAATGTGTGTGCTAATGTCTTTCAATATTTTCAAAATAAAAATAAACAAACCAATGTATTTATGCTGCTGTGTGTGAAAACTTCAAGAGTTACACACTGTACAGAGTTACAGTATGGAAAACTCAACTGCAGAAGAATGGTTAAAAAATAGGGATTATTATTAATGTTGTGTGTAGAGCTGCCTAAAAAGGCAATGTATCATGGGTAATTGTGTTGGATTTGTGCTAATCCCATTTGTGTTATCACTGACAGAATGCTGTTACTTACCATGAGCTATGGTTGTGATGGGAGCTATATTAGCTTTCAGATGGATGTCTTTCTGCTTATAAAGAGACAGGAGTCCCCCTCAATGCCAAGGGGATGACTGGAAGGGTTAAACATGGAGAACTATGTGTTAGTGAGACTGATGCCAGCAGTGAGCAACTGCAGGGGCTTCCATGACGTAAACAGAAGACACAGTGTGGACGTGCAGCCTTGGATTGTGCCCATTCTGACTCTAGGCTTACACAACAGTGTTAGCCTGTTTGATGTAGTATAGAGAAATCTCCTGCATCATTTCTAGTAAACCCTCTGAAAAAGTCCCACGCTGGCCAAACCCCCCCGCCCCCCAAAAAAAAACACTTCTGCCAGCTGTGCTTTGACTGAACAATAACACCAATACAGTCCTCAGGAGAACATTAGGTACACACGTTGTCTCGCTGTTGGACTCTACACTGCAAAGAAGTGAAACGAGATTATGGGAAAAGATACTGAAAACAACTGCAATGATCTGTCCATGCAGAAAAATAATTTCACTAGACAAGATCTCTTGAATTAAAATGATATTGTACTAGTTTGACGCTTAAAATAAGAAATGAACTCTTAAGACAAGATAAGTTAGTTGGCATTTCTAAATATATATATATATTTAGTCTTGGTCAGAACCAATTATTTGCTGTGGACTTTCTTGTGTTCACATTTACTGAAACATGTTGGTTTCCTCACTGCAACTGATACCTGGTGCTCTTATCTGCAGTCTAATGCTAATCCAAAGTCCTTTTATATGCTAGCATATAAGATTAGTTAACAGTCATTTTCTTCTGATAACCTCTAGGCTAAACCTACAATTTATCCTGAATGGCTGAATCTGAAGCAAAACTAGGTCTCAAACAATTAATCGGATTAATCGTGATTAATTGATTATTGAAATAATGGTCAACTAATTAACTAATTGATTAATTATTAACTGGAGTATATAGACTCTAAAACGTGCCTTTAGCTGACAGAGCGACCCACTTATAGCAATAATTAATAATAATTAATTAATAATTAATAATTATACTGAAATTGTAAAAAAAACAAAAAACATTTTTGCTTAAGATAGAAAAAAAATTTTTTTTGTCTGTTGATACGTTCAATCAAGACCTCCTCAAGTGGAAAGGTTTTTAGTTTTATCTGGTTTAATTTAAAAAATAATAAATCTGATTATTAATTGATTAATTGAAAAAAATATTACATTAATAGATTTGCAAAATAATCCTTAGTTTCAGCCCTAGAGAAACCTGTCGAGATTTTTCTCAACTGTTAAATGAAGAAAAATGTTTAAATAGAGGGAATTTAATCAGATGAAAGTTCAAGTCCGTTTGAAAAATAACTAACTAATAAAAACTAAGAGCTTCTGACAGATGGGAAGTGAATGAGCAGAAACATTTGCAGTAACATCTGCAGCAAAATGGTTAATATTTGTTCAGGTAAAAAAAACAACAAAAAACACCCTAATGGGAAAGTTGAGTATGGATTTTATGAATTATGATTTATGTTTGTTTAAAACTGAAAAAAAAATAAATTCAGATTAAGCCGTTTTAACTAACAAAAATCTGTTCGTGCCTGCTTTCAAAATGCAACTTTGTTATTTATCATTGGTGTAAAGATATTGGTTTCTACTATATGTGAGGTGCAGTAAAAAATGTAAATATTTTATTATTATCTCTTAATTGTCCACTGGAGCTAAAATATCTAAACTCTGAAAAAAACGAAATGCAGTTTTAGTCAAACCCCTCATTCCTTGGACTAGATGAAAAAGCAGAGTATGGTTCTAACTTTACTGTATAACAACAAGAAGTTTTCTTTAAAACGGAATTCATAGCATGACATCATAGATTTTACTCAAACATAGAAACTACTAATGCTAAAATAGCAACTTACAAATAGTTTTTGGCTCCTTTTTTTAATTCACCAGAAGTTTCACAGAAATTCACCTCTATTTTCTCCCACCTATAATTCAGGAAAAAGTTCAACTGTCAGCTTACAACAGGTGGGGGAGGGGAAGCATTGTGCTACGGTGCGCCCCATAGAGACGTCATGCATGTTATTTGACAGAATCTCGCTGGTTGTACTTAAACTGGTCTCTTTTTAATCATTGTTTAAACTTGATACTGGAGACTGGCCTGTTCCTGTGGCTGAGCTTGGTGAGCCACTAAGCTGTGTAAGATGAGGAAAAGAGATTCTACAGTTGTTAAAAATAAGTTTCGTCTGACGCCTGTCATCTACAGCCCAAGAAAGCTGGGAATGGTGTGCCACTTACTGCAATGAGAGGTTTTAAACATGTTTGCTGCTCTGCTGTCGTTTTCCTTAAGCTAATGCTAGAATTAACACTTAGGGTAGAACGACAGCTGAGTTGTTCAGAAAGAGAGGCAGACTAAGGAATATGGAGGCCTGTAAGTGCTGAGAGCCCTGATAAGATATGAAGCTATAAGTAGAGCTTTGGTTTTTACTGTTGATTCAGGTTGAAAATAACTTGTGTGCTGGATCGGTCTGGGAAACTCCTTCATGCCTCCTCTGGAGCGGAGAAAAGATTAAGATTGATGAAGAGGGTTATTTTTAACATCACTGTAATAGCTGTTTTAAATCTTACCTTTATAGCAGTTTGATTTTATTTTTATTTGTGGATAAGTCTGAACATAAAGAAGACGAAAAGTTTATTTTTCAAACCATGTCACAAACTCTTGCCTCTGATGTTCTTATCTTAAGTTTGAAGCAGCATGTTTAGAACATAACTAAAAGTAATAATCTCAATCTTATGGATAATAAATGTACCTTACATTGTCCTGCACTAGCTGACATTTATGCAGTTCAATGATCTGTGTTACCTGCTGGGATCAGGCTGGTGGATGGCATTACCAGACCTCCTGAATCTTTATTTAAACAGAATTTAAAAATCGAGTGTCGACTCTGCAGTATTATTGTCAGTGCAACTTGGTAACACTCAACGCTTTGTTTTCACATCTCAGAACATGATCAAATGGTACCTTTGTCCAGCAGTCTTAAAGCCAGAACACAATGAATTCGATTTTCCGACAGAAAATAATGTTGGACAAGGTCATGGCGTTTAGCACTCATTGAAAGACAACAGGGGTGAACACACCCAACACGATTTTATGCAAGGGGGCTTGCGCAGCTCCAAATGAGATAGGCCCTAGGTCTATTTTAGTTGGACATGCAACAATTCAAAAGCAAATTTTATGGGTCTGACAGGAAAAGAAACAAGGTTACAAAGTAAAATACATCAGCTTTGGGGGTTAAATACAAAATAAAATGTTTTAATCAGACGGGAAAAAGAGTCAGTTATGGAGCTGCACCTCCCGTATATAATAAGTGGGACAGACTCTTTTCAAAAACAATGAATGAAACATAATAAATACTTCACCCATGATAGGAATTCAGGAGGACAGACAATGGATACAGTAAAATAGTGATCCCATTAGCCTACATTTCTCTCTCACCTCCTCATGAAAAAAGGAAAGAAAAACTTCAATAAAGTTTATTGAAGTTTTTCTTTCCTTTTTTCAGATCTCTACCGGAGAATCACCACTCTGCCTCAGCCAGCATATGAACTATCTTTAGACATAGATCTCATTATGTTGTTAATATAGGCATATAAAAAACATTCTCTATCTGTTCTAGTTTGAGATGCTGCACAGACTCATTAAGTGGGGCTTGACTTTATAGAATACACCAGTGGTTTTTTATTTATTTTAAATGCCTTTTCATAATCTGTCCAAGTCAAATGTGGGAAATAGCTTTCTTTTGTGTAAAGCACAGAGACAGATGTGAAAAGAATCTGCACAGATCTACCCACCCTGCCTAGTCAGAGCCTCTCTATATGCAGTCAGCGTGACATGGGAAAAATTCAGATCTGAGATTAAAAAGTCCTACGCAACCGGTGTGTTCAGGCCTTTAGAGGCGGTGTACACCCAGGACAGTTCACCAGTACATCTAACTGAGGTTTGACAGATTGGATTACATTTTAAAAACTACTTCTCTCACTTTGTCTAGAACGCCTTATTGCCGGCGGGTCTTCGACAGAAGGACCAGACTAAGAAAGCACCAACAGGAACGTTTCAGAGAGAAAACCTGCTGGCTCATCTGGAAAAACAGGCCACTGAGCATCCTGACAGGGAGGACCTGGTGCCGTTCACTGGCGAGAAGAGAGGTGGGATCCAGCATTTCCTCTAAAATCATTATTTTAGGAATATTTAAGGAAACATTAACATTATACTTGAATACATAGAAACAAAAACTGAGAGACTGGTTGATCATCTAGCTCTCACAGTATGTAATTAAATATTTGCTTTGGATATAATTTAGGTCCCTTTTGGTAGAAAATAAAGAGTGTTTTGCATCATTTTGCAGAAATAAAATCCTGGTAGTTTGACAAAAAAACATTTCTTACACTTGGCAGAGGATGATCAGCCCCATATAGTTTATTAAGTAGCGATACTGCTGAGAGCGAACTGTCAGTGTGGAGAGCAAGTGCAGACTTGGAGCTAAGCTTGTGCAAATACAAATTTCTGCAAAAGCACAGCTAGAAGAGCAGAGTTGAGTACACAGGACAGGACCATTCCGGATTACTTTCACCCTTGCTGCTGCTGCCATGGTCCATCTGTGGTCATGCAGAATAAGCAGCGCTGCACGTCAGGTGGGTAGACGTCTGACAGACCACCTGGAAACCTTTTTATTCTGTCTCAAAGTAAACTCACACCCATGACTCTTCATGTTTTCTTAATCAAAGACCCATGTGTGGCTCGTCAGTTCTCATTATCGTCATAAAAAAAGGAGCCTCAATGAAATTGAAATAAAAACTGTCAAAAATAAAAATCTGATTTGGGTTTCCATGAAAACTTTCCTTTTCCAAAAAAAAAAAAAATGCTTATTTCTAAAAGTTACAGTAAATTAGAATTTAAGGGTAAAACATCAGTGTTAAATTCTTCATGTTATGTTTAAGCATCATTCATTGCAAATCATCCCCTTGACTGTGTAGCTCATTTTGAATCAGTACCATGCACGTATAGAAGGAAGGAGAAATGATGGATCAGATTTTATCTCATAATCCTGATGTTCACTGATTGAACTGCTGTGTAATAAATCTTTTCCCAATGACCAAAGGGAAAGCTTTTGTTCCTAAAAAGAGGGTGGACCCCATCATAGAGAATGTGACACTAGAACCAGAGCTGGAGGAAGCCCTGGCCAGTGCTTCTGATGCAGAACTCTGTGATATCGCAGGTAAGGACATCTTCTTTAATATAATATTTGATTTGTGAGGTGTGTAAAAATGTACGCCACCTGCTCACTAAATAATATAAAGGTGTCTGTTCCCTTTCTAGCAGCTATTTTTCTTCATATTAACTCTTTATTTCTCCATTTCCTTTAGCATTCCCTTCATGTCTCTCCCCATTCATCTCTCCATTGGTTTCATCACTTTGTTCTCCTCACCCACTTCTGCTGGATCTCTTTATCCATTAACTGAGCAACATCCTGGGTATCTAATAACACCACACTGTGTTTGCATGGAAATTTAAAGATCCCTGCCATGCTGATCAAGTCTACAGAATTAATAAAACACTGAATTCTCATTAATTAATCACTGTAAATTTTGGCACTATTTCCAATAATATTTTTGATGCATGAGCAAAACATAAACATTGTACCTCTGGATCAGAATGCCCTTTCTCCAGTTCATTACTCTGTTTTTCTCAGCCTCTAACATTCCATTTCAACGTACATTGCATGTTTTGGTTTCAACTAATAGTTTTAGAAACATGTTTCTTCTGCTTGGAAGTAATTTTGATGTTTTAGAGTGGCCAAGCCAGAGTCTGGACTTGAACACTAGAAAAGTAAAATAACTAAAAGTAGATAAAAGTTTCTTGAAATAAGTGCATTTGCACCATATTTGAGTTGGTAAGTAAAAGGATTCATACTAGTCAATTTATGCTTTATCCGGGACCGGGTCGTGGAGGAAGCAGTCTCAGCAGAGACTCCCAGTCTTCCCTAGCCCCAAACAGCTCCCCTAGCTCTACTGGAGGAAGCCTGAGGTGATCACAAGCCATTCGAAAACTATAGTCCGTCCAGCGTGTCCTGGGTCGCCCCCTAGGCCTCCTCCCGGTGTGACATGCCTGGAACAACATCCAGAGGGAGGCGTCCAGGGGGAATCTATCAAAGACGTCCGTTCCACCTCAGCTGACTCCTCTTGATGTGGAGGGGAAGTGGTTCTTCTCCGAGCCTGTCCTGTATGACCTAGCTCCTCAAAGGGAGTGCCCAGCCACCCTGAGAAGAAGGCTCATTTCAATTGCTTGTATCCAGGATCTGATTCTTTCGGTTGTGATCCAGATTTCATGACCGTACTGTAGGTGAGGGCAGAAACGTAGACCGTCCAGTAAATTAAGAGCTGTCTTTTTTTTCTTAACTCTCTTTTCACAACAGAGATCAGTGTCTGTATTATAACACCGATCCGTCTTTCAATCTCCCGTTCCATTATACCCCACTCATGAACTGGACCCCATGATATATGAACTCCTCCATTGAGGCAGAAACTC